GGGGTAATCTCCGAAACTACTCATCCGATTTCAAAATTCTTTCACCAATATTTAGAATGGACCTTCGGGGTGGACATAGGCTGTATATTATTCCGTTAAACATTCGTATAAATTAAAAGATATCATCTAAGTTAAGGCTTTTATGTCCAACAGATGGCGCTACGAGTACGACGACCTAAGTTTGCTTTTCTGTGAGGCATTATGCTTTTCAGTGAGGATGAACTAAAGCGGATCATCTTCTATCTATCTATGTAAATAAAAATGTAATGTTCGTTTGTTCCTACCGATTCCTTTGAAATTTTGACACAACGCTGCATTCGAATACGCACGTGTTTTTATATAATATACGTGTCGAAATTCAACTCCACTGAAGGGAGATGGTTAGGATTAAGGCTTACGGTAAAGAACTCTGCTTCTATTTATACTATTTTACATGAGGTTTTTTGCGTTTTTGATTGCGTTTTAACAGGGTACGTCGAGAGAATATACACTAAGAAAGGATTTTTCGAAAAATTCCTCCCATGGGGAAAGTGTTATACATTTATAACACAAGCCTACAAAAAAAATTTTTTTTTTTTTTTTTTGATGCCTAGGATTTTAGAACTGATTTTAGCTATATTTGGGTCGCTGAATCCAAATATGAAATCAGTTTTTCTCTATCAGCTGTACTTTTTTAGATCTGTGTTTTTTTAATGTACAGTGCTACATGAAATGTGATGCTCTAATTCCAGTTTGTATAGTTCTAAATCACATATGCAAGAATTAATTCCTGTATATTTTCCCCATTGTTAGTCTGCCGTCCAGTTAGTTCCAGGTAAATCCATCAAATGAAGTAAGCATTCGGTAACAAATTGATGTTCAGTGCTTCAACTAGAGTTGAGGTAAGTTTGTAAGTTCTAGCCGTGCAGTGTGTAGATCAGTGTTTCCCAACCTTTTTTGTGCTATGCCCCACCTAAGCCTTTCTAAAATTCTTATGTATACACTTAATTGTCACACTGTTTCGTTGTAACCATGATAAAACCTGATCCTTTCATCAAAGTCTCTTGTACTTTCCAATCATTGCCAAACGCGACTTGGAACACAACTCATGTCTATCCACCTCAAGGTCTGGGTAAAGAATGNTCCAAAATATGTATAATTTTTTGGGAATAATCCATATAAACTATGCTATAAACAAAAAATTGTAGGATTACTTACCGAGCGTGCACCGTTCGACTACGCCATTGCTTAAGCTTGTTTACGTCGTGGAGCTTGTCATCGAATGGCGCTCGCGTGCTTCCTGATAAATTATTTTTTTGCAAAAAATTCGCTGAACTTTGGAGAGATCATTAATATAAATATAATTTTTATGGATGTTAAATAATAAATGGATTTTAGTAGGTCCGCTGCTCGTTTAAACTCAACGGTTTGTACAATATCCACTATTGGTCTAGATTCGATTAATCCTGTCGTGACACGAGTCGGCGATAACGTTTTACCGAATTATACGAGTTTTTTTAGCGTATTTGTACGAATACTGTCGCAATTTTTTCGCCGTGATATAGGAACCGAACTATAGGAACTCGTGTTACGGGGGAGTCGACTGTATATCGGCATTTATCATTTTCTGAAAGTAGGAACTACAAAAGTGAAATATTCAATTATCAGTGTTTTGTCTACAAAGACATGTTTCTGTAGAAACTTTCGTCATCAATTAAGTCACGTGACAACATTTAGGGGACGTTTATACGGACATTGACCAAAGTCTATGCGGGTCATTGCTAAATTCAAGAATGCTGCAGCGTCTGCGAGAATTTTAATTAATTTAAAACAAAATCGTTTTAAATACAATCGCTGCGTTGCGTTTCGTGTACAGCGAACGTCTGGTTTGAGAATTAAAATACTTTTGCATTGTACTTAAATGTCATTATCTTTATAGTTAAATTCATTATCTTTCCTCAAGGAACACTGGAAAAAGAGTACGTTTACATTTATTAATATTA